CCACAAGGTATAGCTAGGGGCTCTGGGGCAAGTGATGCTCTGTCTTCTTGGTGCTTGGGGGGGGGGTCAACAGTGGGAGGGCTTCTAATGTCCTGGCCCCACTGCTGGACCTCCTGATGGCACTGGTATTTCTGGCCACTGTGTGACACAGAGTGTTGGACTGGATGGGCCTTTGGCCTGATCCAACATTGGCGTCTCTTATGTTCTTATGTTCTTATGTTCAATAGCTAAACCCCCCATGTCAATACAGCAGGAGCATTCTTCGCAAACCTTTGTATCCTCTTTAATAGATTTATATTGAATGGGTCTTTACCACATGATTTGTTGGGGGAGTACACATTTAGCTCTAGGCTGGGTAGTAGTGTCATTTTTGTTTCTCCCAATCTGAGAAAATTTATTGCAGATTTTTTGTGGGTGAGAGCTAAGATAGTGATCATTTTCCTCTGGTTACATTACTAAAACTCGATGCTGTCAGTTATTCAGCACCTATCTCTACTGATATTCCTGCTTCACTAAGAATTAGATGGTCAGAGAAAGTCCAAGAGAGTATCAACCAGTTGCTCCAAACAAGTAAATTAATGGAACTAAATCAACAATTGGTTAAAGTTAGAAATTCTCCAGAGGCCCTCCAAATTTATAACAACTTAACTTCTGCTATAATTAATTTTCATAAACAGCAATCAACAACTAAACCTAGTCCCTCTACCTGGAAGATGGACCCATGGTATGACAAGGAATGCCAAAGACTGAAATGCCAACTGCGTGCAGTATATTGCACTTATTGTAACAGCTCTGCAGCTAATATTCCCTTGAGCTACTTTGAACTGAAAAGTAAGCTATACAGTGGCTCACAAGAAAAGACAATTACGCATCAAGTACTGGGATTTACTTATTAGTACCTGTAATGCCTCAAATAACAAGCTTTTCTGGTCACTAGTTACTGGCACTCTCGATTCTAAGAGCCATTGCCATAGTCACTCCATCCCTGCTGAGGTTTGGATAGACCATTTCCAAAACTTATTCTTTGATCCCTCGTTTATTGTATTGGATCAGCAAGAACAAATCCCCTCTGATTTACCTGAATGGTCACCTGTCAGTCCTAAAGAGATTAACCACCTAATTAACCAGTTGAAGGTGGGGAAAGCCCCAGGACCAGATGGACTCCCTCCAAAACTACTTAAAAACAATTCTTACTGGTGGGCTTCTCCTCTGGCAACTGTCTTTACCATGATTGATAAAACAGGGAACTTGCCTGACTCATGGACAAATTCCATTGTTGTCCTGATTTATAAGAAGGGAGTCAAGGCACCCAATAGCTAAGCCTCCCACTCAGTGTGAGCAGAAAGACAGGGTGGCTCAGAGCCCTGAGTCCACCTAACACCCAAACCCCAGCAGGGGAGAGGAGTTCGTAATCAAGAGGGAATAAATTAATGTGCTCTGCTAGTTGGCTTTTAACAAGTTCCCTGCCTCTCTGTGTAACTGGGAACGGCCAACAGATGAAATGGTGTGTAGCTGAGCTGAGCGTATATATGGTTTTCTGATCCCATAGAGCAGAATGGGAATTCTGTTATTGCCAGCAGTGCCTATTAAGCTTTGAAGGGCTACTATTGGTGTTTCCAAGGCTGGAGAATTCTACCCCCCCTTCACCTTAGAATTTTGTAAACAGTTTAGTTCAGCAGAGATTATCTGTCTGGAAATGTATCCATTCATGAACCACCACGAATAGCACCAAAAATCATGGAATGTTTGTGCTGGGGGCCTTCCACGAATATGGCTTTGTGTGAACCACAAACTGGCAAAATTCATGACTAACTTCACTTCATGAGCTGGTTCATGCCCATCCTTAGATGGGCATATATATACACATATAGACATCCGAGTGGATAGTATTGTGCCTGAACTGGTTTTGAGGTATTCTTTCATAAAAACAACAACACTTGGTTACTTGAAAACTCTCCAGCATGTCAATCATTGGTTGGCTGTCGCATCAAGTGATTATTTGTCTGTGTGAATGAGCCATCACAGATTAACTGCTCTATCATCTAATGTCAATTCAACCACAGGCTGCAGCCAGACAGGAGGTTAGAAACGTCTTTGTTGCTGCTGCCCTGTGGATTTAAACTGCAGGTTCAGATAGCAGCATCTGCCTCACATCCCTCAGCCGTCGGCACTTGGTATTCACCCGTCTTGGAACAGGAGTTTCCAGGCACTGGGGAAAGTCCGGTCCTTATGGACATCTGCAGTTCTACCCCGTACTTCCAAACATGTGATTGCGCTGTTGCGTGCTCAAGTTGTTTGGGAAGTGAAGCTTCCAGTTTCTACCATTTTTTCTTCCCCTTCCTGATGTGTGCACATGTGCACAAAAGACCTTTAAACCAACAGAAGCTGCCCGACACCCCCCGCCCCCCAGCGACTGCACAGCTGACATCTGGTCGGTCGACCATGCAGTGATTTGAGGGTGAGGGTTGGGGTGTCTGATCAAAAGTTGCTGGAACAAAAGTCTGACTGCTGCCACGATCCCTTTCCATTAGGCCTTTTCAGCTGAGAGTAATAAGAGACAAGAATTGGAAGCATGTGCATTATTTTTTTGCTTTCATTTTTAAAAATTGTATTTATTTTCATTTCATCCATTATTGTGTTAATTTGTTTTTATCATTGGTTTTCCATTGGTTTCAGTGGGAATCAGATTTCAAAGGGAAACACAGTTGCCTGTAACGTGTCTGTTTCCCATCCAATTAGGATGAAATTTTCATGGACTATTTCTCCTCCAAGGGCTCTTCCTGCCAAATTTCAGGCAAATAACAGAAAGGGTCCCAGTTTTCAAGTCAATTAAAAGTAAAAAAACAAAAACAAAAAACCCAAAACATTTCTGGCAGCAATGTCTTTGTTTTGTATCCAATTGAGATGAAATTTCTGGGAACTGCACTCTTAACCCAAAGGATGCTCCCTGCTGAGTACCAAGCAGATAACAGAAAGGGTACTAATTTTAGAGGCAAAACGTTCATTTTCAGAATGGGCAAAGGCAGACACTATGCCCCACAAAAAAGGGACACAGGGAGGCATTTGGCACCTAAAGAAAGCCAGGCACAGTTAAAAAGGAGGCACAAAAGCTTGTATCTGGCACTGAAAGGAATTAGGCACAGGTTTAGAGAGAGAGACTTGAAACTCTAAGAAAGGCAGGTACTGTGACAGAACCTTGGTATTTGCCTCCATTCCCCATCTTTTACTTGTTGCTTAGACAAGGTGTGTGGGTACCTGGTGGAAAAGATGCTCATTGGAAACCATTTAAGTGCGTGTGCACTACAGTGAATGGCACAAAAACTAGTAATGTATGTGCACACAATGAATGACATAAGAAGTCATTCGGGGGGAGGTAGCTGTGTTTGTTGCTGCAGAGATAAACAGGAGTCTAGTGACAGCTTCAAGACTAAACAAAATTTTATTCCATCATAAATTTCTGTAGATTGCAGCCCACTTCTTTAGAGGCAACAAAGCTCTCCTTGTTAGGCAGACCTTTTCTGAAGGAGCGATGAACATAGCAGCATTTCTAATTTTAAAAAGCATCCCACCTACAGGACAGGGCTTCCTAGTGAGAAGCCTCTTGTTACATCTGAAAAAGTGGGTTATAGTCCATAGAGGTTTATGCTGGAATAATGTGATGTGCTGATGGGCTCAGCGTTTGTGTGCAGTGCAACTCACAAAACAGGGACACTAACAGCAGGACAGCTCAATCCTAACCACCTTCTGGTTGTGCAGTGCTTGTGGCAGCCCTGTGCAGGCATAACTAGTCCATACCCTATGCTCATTCAGTGGAAGAAAGAAATCCCCCAAGGAACCCAACTTCCAAGGGACTGAGCGAATAGCACCTGCAGCGGAGTCTGTAGCAGTACACCCACCAATACAGAGTGGTTCTTCAAGAAGAAAGCTCAGCAGCCCACCAAGAGTCCTTGGTGCAGTGGCCTAAAAATGTTGGAAAGGCAAAGGACTTTGTTTTGATTACAAAAACCTTTCAAAGGCCAAAGTATGTGACTGCCTCAACGGTGCGTGGTGCACAGAGTCTTTCGTGCCCCCAGCAGATCTACTTTTGATTTTTTTTTTCTCTTCAGTTGTGCTTGCACAAACAACCCCCCCCCTTTTTATTCAATCTGCTGAGCTTTCTACTAGAATTCACATGTCTGCCTATCAACCCCTGCTTCACACTTCTGATTAGCTTTTGGCTTGTTACTTAAATAGTTCTTCTGTGTTTCTTTTTTGAACGTTTTGTTTCCTTAGTGCTTCTTATTTTATTTACCTGTAACACAGAGAAGCTAGAAGTCCTTCCCTCTGGTCCTGCTTAAGTATAAGAAGTATAAAGTATAAGAAGTATAAGAAAGCATAGTGAGGTACCTTGTTCCTTGTGGAACAAGAAACAAGTCAAAGCTACATAACCCATATGCTGATGTGGTCTGACCTGGCCAAGATCAAGAGAAAGAGATCTTTTAGAGAATCCAATACTTCAGTTTAGAAAAAAGCTGACTAATGGGGGACATGATTGAGGTTTATAAATTAAGCATGGGGTGGAGAAAGTGGATAAAAAGAGCTTTTTCTCCAGAGGGCCCCCAGTGAAGTTGATAGGCAATATATTTAGGATGGACAAAAGGAAACTGTTCTTCATTCAGTGAGTGATTACACTGTAGAATTCATTGCCAGAGGATGTAGTGATGGCATAGATGCCTTTAGACGGGGACTAGATAAATTCATGGAGAATAGGTCCATCAGTGGCTATTAGCCATGGTAATTAAAGGGTACCCCCACATCCAGAGGCAGTAAACCTCTGAATGCCAGTGCCAGGAAGCAGCATCATGGGAAGACATTGGTCTCTATGGCCTCTTTGCTGGTTCTTCAGGGCAGCTGGTGGGCCACTGTGTGAAACAGGATGCTGGATGAAATGGATCACTGGTCTGATTTAGCAAGGCTCTTCTTGTGTCCTTATAATATTGTCTTTTTGTCTTCCAATTCAGCAAAATGAATTCCAGATCTACTCTGAGTACTGCAACAACCACCCCAATGCCTGCGCGGAGCTTTCTCGACTCACCAAAGTGAGCAAGTATGTCTATTTCTTTGAAGCCTGCCGGCTGCTTCAGAAGATGATTGACATCTCTCTGGATGGTTTCCTCCTGACTCCGGTGCAGAAAATTTGCAAGTACCCACTGCAGCTTGCAGAATTGCTGAAGTACACAAACCCACAGCATAGGTAAAAACGATTTAGGACCAGATGCCAGGAGGTGCATTCATCTGAGCCCATTCCCTCTTGGTTGTTGTAACTAGTGTAGAAAAATCCTCTACAGCCATTTGAACAAGTTTTTCCCTGAAACTGTAACTGTTACAGGGAAAGACAGATCTGTAGCCAATGTTCCTTCTAATCCCCCCTCCACTGAGTGGAGCAGTTCACATCGTGAGCAGAATATAACTGTAATCTTAGAATGGGCCATGGGCAGTGCAAGACCCTGTGTGGTTCCAGATTGCTGCTGAGCAGGGCTTTCTGGGTTAATGACCATCTGCTCATGCACACAGTTTAGTGGGAACACTGTCTCTTACAAATCTGGGGAACAGCACAGAGTTACCAAATGGATCTTTGCTGCCCTCCTTCTTGCATATAGCATGGGGAGGCTGCAGTGGGACAAGAAGGAATCAGTGTAAACTACCGCTCCATTTGCAAGTAGAGTTTGCGCAGGGGTGCAGGAGGGGGCAGTTTCCACCAATTTCCTCTTCTCACTTGCACTGCATGTCACGCTATTTCAGAAGATTCCCCAATGTTCAGGATCATCTTTTTGAGGCTGCAGCAAGAAGGGGAAGGCAGCAACAGATTTGTTCCATGAGCTCCACTCCATTCATGGCTCTCTGGGTTCAAGCCAATGAGATTATCTAGGGCCCATTTCGGTTTTGTAGGTATCCTTTCCTATTGCATCTGGTGGCTCTCTTAGACTAGGGGAAGTCCTGCAGCAGCTTTCCAGCTCACCGACAGGCACCTTTTTTCTAGGAAACTGATGGGAAATCAAGTAGGAAAGTTCTTGCAGATGTGTGTGGATGGATGGGGTGCGGGGGTTCGCTTAGCAGTTGGTGCAACAAATTATACAAGATAAAAGCAAAAAATGGTAGGCTCGGCAATGGGTGCTAGTTATGGAAGTCCCTCCTGCCATGTATTTAGACATCAGCTGAACTTCTTTCTGCTGCTGCTTAGAGTTGACAGACAGAACAAGTAAAGGAATATGAAGTACATTTGTGCCTCTTTGTTGTGGAAACAGTGTGGTGGGAAGAAATTACAGGTTAGCACCACTCTAGATCCTCTGTAGAGTTTTGGAACATAGTCACAGTGGTTGATGGTGATTACTCTGACCTGCAGTCTGATGCACGGCTGATGTGAAAATGTGCTTCGCCAGTGATATATATTGTACAATGTGGTACAAGCATCAGTAAAACAAATTGTGTCTTGCAGTTCCACATTATCCCCATTCAGCAGATGAGGGAAGCATTAAAGCTGAGGGGTGGATCCTGCCAGTCTTTATGCTGGCACAAGGAAGATGAGGGGTGATCTCATCCAATTCCCCTCCTTTCTGTAGTCCCATCACATGTGTTTTTTAGTTTGCATAGCTACTACAATCCCTAGCAGGGGTGGGGGGTCAAGAGGCATCCTTCCTCCATCTTGCATCTGCAGGAAAACTGGTGGGATCAAACTCTCTGTAATTACATCAGATATATTTCATATTGTGGTAGATGTTATCTTTCCCCCCCAACGTGGATTTGTTTGCTAGTCTCAGTGCTTTGCAGTAGAGGCCTGCCCCCTTCCCATCTGGCTATCTGGTGCTGACATGTCTAATGGAATCCATTTCAACCCTAGGGATTTTAAAGACGTGGAAGATGCTTTAAATGCCATGAAAAACGTAGCACGGCTCATCAATGAGAGGAAGAGGCGTTTGGAAAACATAGACAAAATTGCTCACTGGCAGAGTTCCATCGAGGATTGGGAGGTAAAAATAATGCTCCCTCATGAAAGAGCAGTGCCCCAATCCCAAATGGGGTTGTCTCCCCTTTTTTAAAACAAACGAACAACATGGATTTACAACTGCTCCACCCTGCAAGACAATGCCCAACAAACAATCACATGTATATGGAGCCCGGAATTACAGAGAGCTCCTGAATATCCCACCTATGGGGGGAGGGGCTCTCACTCCCTGTGGCTCTTGCTCCTGATACAGCTTAAAATTATTGGAGCCATGAAGACCGCCTTCTTTGCTTGCCCTGTATATACTGGACAGACACTGGTACAGTGTTGCTTTTGCTGGTGCTACTTGTGCCCAGGCTTTTCGTTCCAAAGGGTATGCTCGCATACCAAAAGAGAAAAGGGGAAAACTTGACCCCAGAGCTGAAATTGTAGTTGGGTATCCTGTTGGTGGAAAAAGATACAGGATATACAACCCCCAAAATCACACAGTTGGGGAACAAAATGTTGAATATGGTTGATGTATATGTTAAAGTGAATCATAAGTGATGTCTGTTGTATGTGCATGTTAGACCTGTTAGACCTTGAGAAGGGGTGTTGGAAATATATGTGTTGCAAGGTCTAAAATTCAGTCATTATAGGGTTAATGTGCTTTACCTTGTGTGCTATTGTTTAGACTGACCTGGAAGGGAACCTGGCAGAAAGCCAATGGGAAGAGAGCCCGGGAATCTGAAGCCTATTTACTAACAATAATTGGTTAACGTATTCAGGTGATTTCCTTCTTATTCTCAGTATCAATTTTACAAAACAAATCCTTATATTTGCAAATGTGTGTACAGGATCCAGAGTCTACTAAAAATACTTTCTTATTTTCATCATCATCATTATCATAGATTCTAAAAACATAATCACTATTTCCATTCCTCTGAGCATTCCTTTTAACATTTCTAGCTGCATTGGGATTCTCCTTTGTCTGAGGTCTAAAACCTCTGTGGTTGCTATAATTTCTTCTTCCATCAGATGGCGCTCTCTCAGAGTGACCATGTGAGCCAGTAGGCTTTTGTCTTGCACTATTTTTAAATTCACAATTTTTGGCCGCATATAAAACATTCAATTTTCCTTTCTCTTTTAAATATGCATGTATGTTTCAAACTCAAAACAGACATCTCATTAGACAAAGCATCCCAACTAGTTCTGGAGTCATATTCCTCCTTTAAAATCATCAACAAGCCATCAAGCGTTAGATCCTTTTGGTGTCTTAAAATTATTGCAAGCCCTCTGTAAATTGTAGGGAGCCCATTCAGTATGGCTGCAACCATGTCTACTTAGTCAGGAGGTTTCCCAAGTCCTTTCAGTTGATTGTAAGTCCCCATTAGCTTCATCAATTAAGCAGGTAAAGAGTCACTTTCCTTTACTTTAAAGTCAAAAATCTGAGCCTTCAAGTAGTGAATATTACTGGTTGTCTCCCCTCCATACCTCTCTTTCAGGTGTTCAGTCATTAATTTGGAAGTTTCTATAGTATGCAGGCTGGGGACATCATGGCAATTAACTGAACCCATAATCAAGGACTTGGCAAAGCCATCTAGTCTTCTGAAGGCACTTTTGTCTGGCTCAGTTGTAGAGACAGCCTTTGTTAAAATATCTTCAGACCCATACATTTGCAGTCTATTCTTTAGGGAGCTGAGCCACCAATTAAAATTATGCTGGGTTAACTTCAGTGGACCTAACCCCCCTGGGTTGAGATATCTGGCTTGGAACACACATCTGTGGCTGATTCAGAAGACATAGAAATTAAAGCTGGAGTACTCATCTTGACTTGCAGACTTTTAGCAGGCTCTCACAGGGTTAATCCTGTCTTCAGAGCAGGAAGCCAGGGCAAGTGGAAGCAATCAGCTTCTCCTATTTTCCTCTGTAGCTGGGATTCCAAAACATGCAAAAGGATTCAAAATAATAGTTCTCAGCTGCTCGTTAGCATATGCAGGCTGGTGTAAGTGAGATTTTTAAATCAAATGTGAATCTAAGTCGCCACCTTTCACAGCTGCAGTATGCTTGGCAGGGAGAGCAGAAAAAAACTTGCAGGAAAAAAGTGGTTGTTTTAAAAATCAAGCCTCGCAGCTTTGCTAACTTAGCTCAGCCTCTCTCTTTCTCTCTCTCTCAATCCAGTGAGCGTTAAAAAAAACAAAAAAAACTTGCTTTTACTTAAGCATACCAGGGAACCAACCACCCTCGTACCAGAATATTTTGGAAAATTGGTAAAAAAATAGGACTTCCGGTTTAAGCATTTCGCCGCCCGGACACGTCTCGTCTTGCTCGGATGGAGATGTGCCGAGACCCGGCTGACGGGAGGGGTTCGAGTTCGTCCTGGACCCCCCTGGGGTCTCTGTAGGAGACCCCCAGCCTGGGGAGCTGAGGAGAGCCTCTTCCAAGGAGACGCCCGAGGAATTGAGGCTCACCTTCTTCCCCGATAGGTACCATCGCCGCGGAGCCAGTATGGCGCCTAGAGACAACTGCCAGAACAAGTGATCATGACCAAACTCGTAAAAAAGACTTCCAAAAGATCTCCAAGGCTACAAACTGTGAGTTAAGCAAAGCGCAGTGAAAAATAAGCGAATGGAGCCTTGGTAGTAATTGGAAGTGCCTAAGTTTGAAGCGTGGGGGGAGGAGATTTCAAGCCCCCCCCAATAGGAGTAAACTGTAAAAAATTATTTTAAAGCGAAAATAAAGAGACTTTGAGCCAAACCAAGCACATAAGAAGTTAAGCGAACGCAAAAGCTGCTAAAATATACGAAGCGGAATTAAAACGTATAACTTTTGCTTTGTTTTGGAAAACTTACTTCTTGTTAATGTTATGGCTGGGAGAGGACGGAGAGCGCCGGAGAAAAAACTGGTGACCGGAAATAACATACCAACAGCTCCCTCCCAGAACCAGGAAGCATCTACAGACTTTTCTTCACTCTTAGCAAATGCACTGCGCCCTCTAATGGAACAGATGACTACTCTCAACACCAAACTGGACAATGTGCAAAAACAGTTAAAGCAAATGGACAAGAGAACTACAGCAATGGAGAAAACGTTGAAAAAGATGGAAAAACAGACTTAATTAATAAAAGAGTGGATGAAGCAGAGAAGGAGAGATCCTCGGATAAAACACAACTAATACAGCTCCAGCTGGAAAGATCCATGTATGTTCTACGTTTCCATGGAATACCTGAGGATAAGAATGAGGACTTAAAGGAACTCTTGGTGGTTGCCTTGGCCCCACTAATGGATTACAAACAAGAAGACTTAATTAAGGAAATGGATGTGGCCTACAGGACTTATCTGGACTTTATAAAGAAAAATAAACTCCCAGGGGAGACTTATTTAAAATTTACGAAATGATCAACCAGAGAACTGGTGCTAAAGTCAACAATGGGGAAATCCTTAAAAATCAAGAATGAAGAGATAAAATTTTTGAAAGACATCCCATTCGAAGTAAGAAAAAGGAGGAAACTATACAGGATGCTTACTCTCTCTCTGCAAAAAACGGGAATATCGTATAGATGGCTATTTCCGGAAAGGTTGAGTTTTAATTATCAGGGAAAAAATATATAAAATTGACTCTGTTCCAAAAGCGGAAAGATTTATGGATCAAA